CGCTAAAGCTAAAAGGTGCCATTCTAAATAAACTCTAGAATAACTGAGGTGTAAAGCTTTTCAGAAAATCATAGTTGTAAGTAAGTGTAAGTCAGCTGCACACTTTATTTTAATTACCTCACAGGTTAGAATATGATTCCTTTTGAATAACTGAACATATTAGTGCCAAAACAAACAATCAGGGACAGTTTTGTCTTCCAGGCAATTACACTGTCAGATGCACAGTCTTACTTACTATCTGCATTGCTCTGTTTTATAGTATTTCACCATCTGGAACTGTTGTACCATTTTATATTGTAAGTGGTGGTTTGGTGGTGTTTGCTGTCTTACTGTTTGATGAGAATGAGAGTCTTAGTTGACAAACTTTTCAGGAGTTGGGTAGAAAATAAGCTCGAATGCTGTAACAGGGACCGTTTCTCTTCTAACACAGAAGTCACTTACCAGCGTGCACTTCTCTGCTCATAACCCTAGTTGCCCTTAGTTTGTAAGTAATGTTACACATCATCCATCATGTTGATAAGTCTGCGAAATGTTCCAACACATTCAGAATCATAACTGCTTGTCATTCACAGGCGGCTGCTTCGAGTCCCTTGTAAAATGTATATTTTAAAGACTCATTATTATGGTTTTGTATTTCTCTGTAATGTAGCATTGTTAATAATAATAGTTAATAATGTTACTTATAACATCCTTTCTCTTCTAAAAAACTAGAAATTAGCCTTTCATTCTAAAAAAGAGCAAATCTGTGTAGCTCAATAGTTTCCTGTCTTCATATCCAGATACAAATGATTTAATTACATGCTAGTTCCTGCTTTTAGTTATTAAAAGAGAACTGAAGTTGAACCTTGTTAGTTAAGTTACAGCACCACATGTCTGTGTTTGTGCACTCACCCATTCTGTAATTGACGATTGATGATTTGTCATTTAGGGCTTTGGATTTACTTAAAGTTTTTTGTCCATCACGTGCCGCTTCTATTAAACATGACATCTTTGTCTTGTCAGATCTGTTGCTGTTTCACCATAGACTGTATCTAAAAAGTATTTTACACAGATTACCATGAGAGGGCACTTATCTAAAAGCACTGCAAAGCTAACTAGTGGCTCACAAATTGATTATATATTGTAATATCATACTATGTATCTATCTGTAACTTTGTTTCAGTAACCTCACGCATATTTAAAATGCAAACAGAATTACTGTTTGGCTGTCACAATTTCACAAGTCTAAATTAAACTACTTTTTTATTGATGCATTTTCATTTATTTATGCTTTATTGACAACCACCTTAAATGATGAAAGGGGTGGTTTAAGGTGACAGGAGCTGTGGCTTTTTAATGGGAGCACATTGACCAGGTTTTCTGGGGCTGTTTCCAGCTCCTGTTTTGTTAACTGTGTGATAATTGTGTTGCTCACTGATCCGATCACTGACTGAAATTATGTATTTACCTAGATTTTCTACTAACAAAGGAACATCAGGTGAAAGCAAACAGCAACTATGAATAGCAAAATAGCAAAATGCGACTGTCTGTAGCAGACTGTCCTAATCAACCTATCCATGTGTTGATTCATTATACGTCTTATCTAAACATATTTAACCCATTTAATCCAAAGTCCTCTCAGGTATGTATTTATATAAATTATACTCCTTTGGCAGGCTCATTAAGGAATATGTATCCAAATTTGACAAATAAGTGGATGGGCTCATCATGGAATTTTGTAGTGGAGTCGTATTGACTCTGTGGTCTCATGCAGGGTTGTTGTAACATGTAAGGAGGGGTCTCATTTTTAATTAAACTATGAATTTCATCCAACAGAGCTTCTGGTCCATCAAAACCAAAAATGATAGCTGGTGAACTGAGAATGTAAATGCTCCGTATTTGTATAGCGCCTTTCTGGTCTTCTCAACCACTCAAAGCCCTTTTACACTGCATCTGCATTCACCATTCACACACACTGAGCCTAAGTGCTCATACAGAAACATTCACACACATTCATACACTGGCGGAACAGACGCCAGAGGCAATTTGGGGTTCACTATCTTGCCCAAGGACACTTCGACATGCAGCCTGGGGGAACCAGGGTTGAACCACCGACCTTCCCATTAACGGCCAACCCGCTCTACCTAGAGAAGAAATGTTCCGTTTCTCCCACGTGGTTCTAAACCGACTGTCACAGACACAGAATCGCATTTTTTCAACCTGGGAGATAATTGCATTGTTGAAAGTTGCAAGAGCCTCTGAGAGCTGAATTAATAAAGAGAACTCACATGTAGGATAGTCCACTGAAATCTGTATATACCCAAAAGAGAGCCCGACCGATTTACCATTTTGCAGATATTATCGGCCGATATAAGCAATATCTGCATCTGCGTTTATAACAGCCGATATATATGACTATTAAAAAAGAGAAACAGAGAGTCGGATCCTTCCCTCATGTTATGAGTGTTGCAAAGTTTGCCCCCCAGAGGGCGCGCTGCAGCTCCTCTGTTAACAACACTGCAGCACCACAGAAAAAAAAAAAAAACATTAGCTGACCACAGTCCAGCTCCTGGTAGCTCTCACACTCATTGTTCCCTGTGAGTTGGTCTTTTGTCACGTCAACTACATGACTTAAATAATGATCAAAATAGCCCTCATTAATTTTCCTCTTCAGAGACCAGACTTGCTAACCCTCTCGTTTTGTGCTGCCCTCTCCAGGCTCAGCAGTGTGTTTAATGTTACTGTAACCTAGTGTTAGAGGCTACGCTGCTGACAGACTTGCCAACAGCAAATAACACTGCCTGTTGCTAAATTAGCCACAAAGCTAATGCCGTGTTTATCAGTGGAGGAGGCTAACATTTATGAGCGATTCAACTGTAACATAGTGTCTGTAGTTACAGTCAGCGTGTCAGAATTGATTAAACCAGAGGGGACTTGTGAACAAGTATCTAACACACAGTTGCAGGTCCTTTTGTAGACAGTCATGTAGTATTAGATTAATTCAAGGGCAGCGTTTCCTCTGCGTCACTGTATCATAGAGCCAGAAGTGTGTTAGGAAATCGTTTCTGCAGCATTGGATAGAATTACCAGAGCGCAGGTGATAAATTAGATGTAGAAAGTAGTCATCGTGGCAGATTACATCTTAGGTAATAACTACTGCATGACAAAAAACATATATATATAATTATTTGCCTATGTAGGAGAGCCTTGTTTATCATTATTTTGATAACAATGACATGAGAGATGATATATGGTATTATTATTAGTAGTAGTGGTACTATATTGGTGTTTTTTATAGTTTCTGTTTCTCTGGCCCCCACAATACATACACTTGTTAATTTAATGTTCATTTGTACTAGTACTAGTATAAATCAGATATTTTAAAAACGTTTTCTGTAGTTTTATACATTTGACTCTTATTTATCAAAACTTTAATATTTTTTGTTGTACTTTTGTTCAAAATACTATTTCTAACAATAACAAAGTAGTTTATTTTTAAACTGCATTATGTCATGGTATATTGATGAGGTCTCAACATAACAAATGTCAGTGATCATCTTTGTTTATGTTATCCATCCATCCATCACAGTGTTTATGTTATGCGTTTCTTAAAATAAGGGGGGGGGGGGATTGGCCAGTATATTGGCATTCGGATTATTAAAATCCTGAAATATCGAAATTGGTATCGGATGTAAAAAAAAAACGTATCAGTCAGGCTCTAAGCTAGAGTCCCTCTATTGTGACCAACAAACTACATTTTACATGTCAAAGCAATATCGGTTCGAGACACAAGATTGTGTTGTGGTTCAAGACTGTATCTACCAAACATCTTGGTTATATCTAACATTTAAAATATGTTGCAAACTATCTTTTGTGGATCTTTGATGACTTAACCCTGTGCAAAGTGCATGCATGCAATGAGCAGCTGTGGTCATATGACTAAATGCAGTAAACAGGAGTCACTACTCTCAGATTGCAATTGTGGGATCTGTAATAGATACTTTGAAAAACTGCCAAATGGACAACATGGCTTTGTTTGATCAGGATGTTGAAACTGTAAATGATGAATACCTTCCCCTACCTTTACCATTTCCGTTCATTTGAGAAACCCTCCTCTCCTCTCATTTACATTTTACAATCACACTTCTTTTTTGTCTGCTCTTGGCACTAATGAAGCTCTGAAGTTTGCGGACTCCGCAGCAGTGATTGACTCACCACCCGCTTTTTGCTCTCTATAACCGGCTCAAGGACACTTCCAATTAGCATCTGGTACACTAGCTTCAGTCCCTAGGCCTATCAGGTTGGAGAGAAGCCATTTGATGGGGTGTCTCAGGTTGCCAGTACATCACACTGACTGGGTGGAGAAAGAGGCTCAGTGCATTTAAATTTTCTCCCTCCATTCTCCTTTCTCACACTGTCTCTCTTTTTGTAACTCATCTCTCCACTCATCCTATGAGCTGACAAAGCCTTTAAACAAAGTTAGATCAGTTCCCCCATTCAAACAAAATTCATGAATATTAAAACGAGGACGAGCGAAGCTATGTATACAGTGCATTTTGGAAAACAATCACGCGCTGATAGTTTTCAACGTGACCATCATTTATATTCAGATTTGTTATTCACATTGCACACTCGTGTCCTCTAACTCAACTGATAAGGAGCTGCTCAGTATCCACTAGTATAACCTCACCATAATGCTCTTATCCCAAACAACCTTGATGATTCAATAGCACTTTTTGAACCTGTCTTTCCATTCTTGTATTATTGTCTTTTAGTGAAGCATAAGACAAAGCAGCCAGGTCTTGAAGGAAAACGTCTACGGAGACACCCTTGGAGTGACATTGATGGTGTCTTTGAGAGAGGAGTGGCAGCTCTTCCTGAACATCTTTTCTTTGAGTTACAGGAATAGAATATAATCAAGTCTGACATTTTTTCAGTGAGACATACTGTACATTATGTATAAGCAAAAAGTTCAGAAAAGTCAAATAAATAACTTGATGTACTCTGTCGCCCTGTATCAGGTCGGGGTCGTGCTGCACTACTCGTCTCTGTCGACCATGCTGTGGCTCGGAGTGACGGCCAGGAACATTTATAAACAGGTGACCAAGAAGCCTCCGCAGAGCCAAGATGGTGACCCGCCTCCAACCCCTAAACAGCCCCTGTTGAGGTAAGCACAAATGTCCTCACAACCCTCCTCAAACTTGACTCCCTCTAGACGGAAAAGTACACCAAAAGCTGTGCATATGTGCTTTTGTGCCTGTGTGTGACCAGTATTTTTTTTATCTTTCTTGCACCTTTGTGTGTGTGTGTGTTTTCAGAGGCCAAGGACTGGTTCAATGCACAATTATTTGCCTTCTTATTTCATTTTTTTGTCAGTACATGGCCTGACTGAGACTGTGATATGTATGCAAGTAGAAGTATTGTACAATCACAGGCTATTCCTGTCCCAGCCTGTATTTATAATTTTAAGCAGTGGTGGAAAAAGTATAACAATAACTTTAGTAAAACATATGTAAAATAGAAAATGGGGAAAATGTTGCTCTCGGGAGGAGGCAGCAAGAAGGAGCACATGTTGACACAATGGCATCCTGGCTCTGGCTAAATCTACATCTGTCTGCTGCAGATGCACCATCCACAACCTGGAGTAGGAACTAGCATATATGGATGTATTAGCATAATATTATAACATTAAATAAAAAAGTTAATGTTAGTATAATATTAGTCTATTTATAGGTTACACTTTAATTGGATCTCCCTACAGATAGTTTGAGTTTTCAACACCTTATTAGAGTATTCATTATAATTTCAGATTATAGTATTCTATGTAGCTTACCGCTAGTATGATATTAATTCCAGTTGTACAAAACAGCAGTTTCATTTTTGTGGGCTGTTTCCTTCATTAAATCCTTGTGCAAGAAAAACGTTCTACATGGTGGTCAGTCTCTAATTTGTTAATGCTAATTACTAACTCATCAATAATCATAACCATTAATGCATAACGAGTGCATTTCAAAAGTTTGCTGTAGCACGTCAAACGTTTTTTTAATGACCCACCCTATCCAGGCTGTGATTGGTCAGTTCACGAAAAGTGACACTGATGAGCAACTTGTGCACATGCTTGTTATAAAACGCACCCGATCTTCTCCCTCCTATGTCTCCGCCGACAGCAGGCTGGTGAGAATGGGAACAGGTGAGCGTCACATAATGCCCCCTGGGTAATGCAATTTCCTTAGGGCCATAAGTCACCCATAGAACCGGATTTGGAGAGGGCAGAAAAGAGAACCAGCAGCTTGTGAGAAGTGCCGGTGCACAAGAAAAAGTCCCGGTATGCCAAAGACTAAAATGTATTGCCGGTACTGCATACTTAACTACAAGCAAAGGTTCTACATTTATAATTCTGTATAAAAATGGCCCCTGCAACTAATATAATGAATTACATTAAATTACGAGAAAAAAAAAGTTGGTAATAGTTGAGTTAGTTTTAAGTATTTTCTATGCCGTTTGATTAATAAGGTAGGAAAGAAGGAAAAAAGTTCTGCTACACAGATTTGCATCATTATCTTTGGACTTTTTTGTAAAATATTGAAGAGTATTACCTCCTTGGTCCCTCAAACGGTATTCAAATGAAACCATCTGAAAAGTTACAGGAGAAATCACTCTTTGGAACTGCCAACGACTCATGGAGATCGGAAATGTAACAAGTGGCTCCAACTACATATTGCTTTTTTGAATGGGGTCACAAGACAAAACGATTGCAGACAATGAACAAACACTGAATGGGAACAGTCAAGTGACGTAGAAGTACCTCAAAATACAGTACAAAGTATTCATAGTTTTCAGTCACCTGACATGCCAACACCTCGACTCCCCCGCAGAGACACCGCAAAAGCAGTCACATTTTATTTGGATCACCTTTCAACTTAAGAAAAGAAAGACATTAACACAAACTGAAAGTGTTGGGCATATCCGATCCATACAACGTTACAGCTGCCGCATTTCTACCGTAAAAAAACGCCAGGTCCCTGCCGCCGCTCGGACTGCGGTATGTTTACATTTACCTTCTGGGGAATCCCTCACCTAACACGGCCCAGACTTGTCTCCTCCTCGATTAGTAAATCTGAAAGCACAACAACCATCCAGCATTTTGGCAATGCAAAAAGTAACAAACTCAAAGTAACAGTGTATCACTTGCATATTGGTTGGCAGGCAGCAGAAAATAACGTCTTTTTTGCCCTCCAAGGGAGCGTTTTCCTTGGAATGTGACATCACGTGAAAACTATGATTAGATGAATAGTACTAGTTTTAAGTTATATTGTACACATTTGCCATGGAATGAATATAAAACTCCTTTTTTTGTAATTACAAATCTTAAAATGAATGTGGATTGTGTACTTAGTTGTGTGTGCTGGATTACAGATCACCGTGCAGAGGTATGTGTACTCGACTATGATTTGCGCGCATGCATATTTGTGTCTCTGTTGATTAATGCTACTTTATCTATTTTTTCAGGTGTTTGCTGGCTCATGTTTCCATTATAGGGTAACAATAGCTTCACACAGATGAGTTATTGCATTGTTTATCTGCAGAGACATCCACAGCTAGTCTGCATTCTTTCAAGCCTCTGGCTTTGTTCATTCTGTACTGACATAGCTGTCAGGTCTTCCTATTTGCAGTATACCGTGTGGCTCTCCTTGTGGATTTCTCCCACATTTGATCATGTCAAGAAATCACATTTTTAATCAGAGTCACTGTCCGCCATGAAGGAAGAAGTTGAATTTTCACATTAAGTGACTGTTCAAAACCTAGAGTAATAAATGCTAGAGAATAGAGTAGTGCAGTGACTTCCTTTTAATCAGTTAAATTCCTGAATTTAGGCCTTTTTAGCATTAGAGGCAGGGGTGGACTGGTAATCTGGCATACCGGGCAAATGCACGGTGGGCCAACGAACCTTTGGGGCCGGTGGAACATAAATTATTTATTTAACTGTTTAAAAAAATGGGCCAGCGACCGTGCCATAAAGCACAGACAGCGGGTAATTTTCTATACTGACACTGGGCTGGTCCAATCCCATCTCTTACTGGCCCCCACCCCCTCTGCCCTCTGTTTCTTGCATTGCGAGTCAAAAAAATCATCAGACGGAGGCCGCCAAATGCATGAAAATAACCGATATGTTTGCTACTGTGGCTGCAGTAGCTTCAACATTAGCTGCAGTAACCGACGTAGTGCGAGCACAGGCACTTGAAGGAGTAAAGGAGGGCCGTGGCCACTGCCAGGCAGAGGAGGAGGCGTGAGACAGCAGAGCAGAATGACAAAGTGACAGGGTCGAGGGAGAGAGAGAGCAGGAGGAGAGTGGAGGTGAAGCAGGAAGCATGGAGTAGCTCAGCCTGTAGGGAGGGAGGTTCATAGGTGTCATCTGCACTGGGGAAACTGGGGACATGTGGGTACCCACCATTTTTTGAAATGGCAGATGTTGTCCCCATCACTTTTTGAAAGCATTTGTTAAAAATGTTCTAAAAAAAAAGCTGGCACCAAGAAATGTTTATAAACACATGAAAATGCTTTGAGAAAGGTATATTTGCACAATAAGACATCCTGCAATGCGAGTATGTAAATATAGAAGAAACATCTGCATTGTCCAAAAAAAGTAACTTAAACTAAGAATAATAATAAGCTACTGATTCTATTTTCTGGATTCTCACTGGCCACCTGCATTTTTGTGTTAAATCTGATCTACATTTTTACCATAAATTGGTGCAGAAACTGTCTCCAGAATGCATGAAATTAAGTGTTTAATGCTCAGAATCTTCTAGGGGACAAACCCCCAGCCCCCCAATCCTATATTTCCTCAATAAATATGTTTTTTCAAAATAGTATTAAAATATATTCTTGTCTTGTTCTCATGACCCCAATCTTGTGCAATGTCACGTCTTGTGGGCTAAGTGTTTCGTCACACCCCTAATCTGAGCCCTTAAGTGTCCACACCACTTTTCAACACAAAGTAATGCCCTTGGGTAGAGTGTGTGCCATGCCGTAGTGACAATGATGATGATTACTTAAATTAAGGTCAATGATAATAACATAATCAAAATGCTATCATAAAGTGAGATTGTTACCTACTGCTGGTGATCACTCAATGTCATACAGCACTGCATAAGCCATTTGACATTGTTTTTTTAGCTAGCAAAATTTCCTAATGCAGTCTTAACTTTGGCTAACTGTCCTAATGGCTGAGGTGAGGTTATTTTGTCAGCATCGCGTTGGCTAATCCCACGCTGCTGTGAAAATGACGTGTAGGCTATACTTCAGGATGAGTTGTGTACTTCATGGCCACCTCTGATCACCATGGAGTCAGTAAATGAGTGTGAATGAGTACACTGATCCACTTGCACCGGTAGGCTACACTTATCCACGGCACTTACTGCTCAGCTGGTTTGGGGGAATATTACAGTAGGTACACATTTTATATGGAAGGATGGTGTATTGGTGAGCCGAAATGCACAATGCAACTCCAAAACTGTCTGCTTCTTTCTGAGATCGCAGTTTCCAGAAATTAGACAATATTTTTCCGGGGAGTGAAATAATAGACATGGTAGTTTGTCAGACTAAGCAACAGCAACTACAGGGGACGTGGCTTAGCGAAGGGTCAATTGTATTAATTTTAGGAAAATATAAATTATGGTTTGATTTATGACTATTGGTGTGCCACTGATCTGGTCTTGTAGTTTTAAAATATTTTTGAAAAATCCCAATTCTGCAGTTTTCCCATAGGTATAGATAGACCTCTTCTAGCAGGCATTTGTTAGCTAGAGCTCAACTGGTGGGACTGGCTGCTGAAAAGGGCGTGTAGTAAATGTTTTGGCTCAGTTATTCAGTTTGAGGCTTCCAACTACCCTGGAAGGTATAAAGAATGGAGGGCAAATGAAAGTCAGGAGGAGGAGGAGGAGGAGGAGGAGGAGGAAGGAAGGACGAAAAAGCAAATGACTTAAAAGAACCTGTTACTATGGAATCACCTCAGTGCTATAACTAATTACCCCAATCACCCAGGAGGCTGCTGAACCAGGAGCTTTATCATATATCTAAATGTATTTAGCCTTTTCACCCATTTAATTTCTATTCACTTAGATGCACACATCAGATTGAATTTTTCCCCCCGCTCATTCTCCATTT